TGTAACTGTAAGAAAAGACAAACTGACAAATTGCTGGGTACATGTATGATTTAAATAAAAAAGTAATATTATTACAATCATGAAGAACTTTTAATTACTGTTTAAATATTCTTCTGCCTACCATTCCTGGCTTCAGAGATGACTTGCTGAGCCCACTGTTAACACCTTTAGGATCCAAAGATAATTTGATTTTCTTTTGACCAGGCTTGGAACCTTCCAGTTCCAACACTGAACACTGAACCAGGGTTCCAACAGTGAAGAATTTAGCAAGCTCTGGAAAACTAGTTGTCTGCAAATACAAAGTGCGACACAGAAATTTCAGGGTCACATTTGAGCCAGCATGTGCCAGCATGTGATCTTCCTTCAAGCTAACCAAGTGGTTGAATTCTAGGATAATGCTAGTTTATTTATGAAATGTATACAGCTACATGTAATCATTGCTGTTCTCCAAAAGTCTAGAAGAACAAATTACATGATTGTACATGTAGTGCTTAGTGATATTTTGATTTATGAATAGCTAGGGAGAGTTCAACTTAGTGATATAGATTAATATGTTGTTTGTACATTTATGTTGCTCTAATGTACATGTAAACAAACTGTAGGACATTCATTTATTATCTTTCTTGTATGCCAGTTTCTTTGCAGAGTATTAACAAGAAAGTTTTAATTATGTCATGACCCCAGGATCAGATTCTGACAAGATTCTTTTTTCTTGGACTCTACAATCATTATGATCAAGACAGAATTAAATATAAAGGCTCGTGCCCTATCATATGTACATGTACTGTATGTTTTTAAAATTATATAGTGCAATGTACCTACTGGTACATGACAGTCTAGAAATCTCAAAAGAAAGCAGTACATGTACATAAAAGTTTCCTAGTGATATGTCCTGGCCAGATCGAATGTCATCATTATTGATTCATGATCATCATGGTGTCTTGCATTACTCTCAAAAAATTATGCTAAACTAACAAACTCAAAATCATATCTTGCCTCTGTCTCTTTACTGTCTGTGTCATCAGCCTGTAACACCTCCTTTAATCTTTCGGTGATCTTCTCATTTACATGTGTAATGTGAACAAATCCACTCAGTCCGTTTGGCAGACTGATGGCCATGTCATATTCATTCACTTCTCGTATTGCTCCCAAAATTTTCATCCCCACATAGAGTTTCTGTTGGGAATTTAGTCAGTGTTAATTAAAAGGAAGCTTTGAAATATCAAGGAGAAAAGAGCTTTCAACTGACAAGACTTCATCCTAATTGAAGAGGCAAGTGTACAACTTAAACAACAACATCAGTGATGTCCTTGGTCAAAAGTGGTTAATACAGAGTTTGCCAGTTCAGTCCTAGGATAGTACAATTGACTGGGAGTGTGTAAAATATTAATGAAATACCTGTGGCTGACCTCACCCCTTCAATTAATTAATGGCATATGCACTAACAAAGATAAAATTGTTAACTTTAGGTTAAAACATCTATTAAAAGTTCTTTGCCTCTTGTTAAATTAATGTTACAAAAGTACATGTATGCACAGACATGAAGTACTAAAGGTGGACAACATGTCAGTGCACAATGAGCTTGTTTCCAAAGCATGCATGTACATGTCTTTCTCTTGAAGTCCTCTCTCTCAGTATATGTTTTTTATAAATGTGCAAGTTACATGTAAGGTTGTAATAGCTCAAATATCCTAGCTACATTGAAGATGTGAGATTTTGGTCCTCTGACGTGGTGGAGTGGGCTTGAGATCAAAGTTTTCTGACCCACAGACCTGAGGTTCATGGCCAAGGCATTCACAAGAGTCAGCAGGTACATCCATGATAAATTAGCCAGTAGCCACATGTAGCTCTTAGCTACATCTACATCTACATCCCTGGTATACATGTAAGTGCAGTTTATTATACAATTAAAGCTCCAAGAGAGAGAGAGATGCTTAGTGATTAGGGAGGGACCTAACAGGCTTATCACATGACAATACCTTGAATGTGAGAGGCTCCACAAGTTTAAGTTTTGATTTCCCTTCTAATTCAACTTTTCCATTTAACTCATTTCCTGCAGCAGCAGTTTTCTTGACTTTCTTCTTTTTCTCTTTGCTTTTAAAAACATTTCGTTCTAAATCTGACGATGGCTTCTGCAAGGAACAATTTAATTAATACAGTCAGACCCTGGATTAATACTCTTACTATTGATTTGTATTTCTCTTAAACCATGAAGAAGAGCCTCTTAAGCCCAACTAGCTCATAGCTCTCACTGCTTACATGCAATTCTAGTTTCTGTGGCATGAAGCAACTAGGCGTATACCTACTCCATACATTAGCCAGTCCATACATAGGCACTTCACTCCCTAGCATTCTGTCAGGTTACCCCAACAATTTACCACTACCTATTCATACTCCTGGGTAGAGAACGATACTGTGAGTAAGAGTAAAATATGATGCATCTTGCCCAAGAACAGAACACTATGATCCCAGCCCAATCTCAAACTTACATTACAAGTGCAAGTTCACTGCTTGATCTAGAGTAAAGCACATTAACCATTACTGAAGTCAACATTTAATGGACATCCACCATCATGATTATACAGTCGTGTATTATAAATTTATTTCACACATACAGTATGACCGACCGACCAACCAGTTAACTGAATTTTACGTGAATTTGACATAATAAATTATAATAATATGATGCATGTATGTATTATATAATGTTCAGTTCCGGAAAATATCCATACTCCCCCATCAGAAGGGATTGGAATTTCCTGGGGGGTGGGGGGTTCTGGAAGACCAAAAAATTTGAAGAAATGTATGAAGCTCAATCAGAATTTCCAGAGGGGTGGGGGAGACTTAGAAAAATTCCCTTCCATGGGGGAGGTATGGATATTTTCTGGACCTACACAATGCAAATTTCTAAAATGTGTAAGCCAGCAAGAGAGAAACTTTCAATAATAAGACTTCAGTCTATTCTCATCACACAGTACTGTACATGTAGGGATATTCAGTTGATAAATCTAGATAGTAAGTAAACAGCTGTGTTCAGTAAACAATGACAACAATCCACTGAATGTAATATTTACCACAAAAAGAACATCCCTCTCTGCTTCATGCTTGATTTTCCTCACTTCAAGTGGACTGAGTGAGGAAGCACCACCTCGTGGAAAGTCTTCCTCTTCAGCTTGCCTTGACCGAAACACACTGTTCACATGGAATTGAGTGAAAACCACAAGAAATGAAAGTTTGTGAAGTGGATTGTTTATGTGCCTTTAGTCTAGAAGCGACCGTGAGAATAACCTACATAAACATGCACATCCACAATCACTACCAATACATGTATATAATTTAAAAGGAGATTATTTAACTTCACTCCTAACTCAGAAATAGAAAGCCAAAAACCCTAAACTCAACATTAACCACTATACATGTACATGTAAAGTAAGCTACTATAAAGAGGCTCTAGGTCCTAAGGCTGACACCTGACCGGTTCTTGGATATTCAATGGTCCTTAGACACAAGACTTGTTCTTGCCTCAAGTTTTAGCCAGGGTAAATGATACATTATTTATACATACTGAAGAAATGTAACCTTCTACATTGTACATGTATGAATGCACTCATGTACTTTTGGTTTGTCACTCATTTCTCTGAAAGGAACATCTGCTAAAACAAACCACTACTGACATGTATTTCATCTATGCCAGCGCTCCCAGATTATTCAGGAGTCTCCCGGATACAGACTGAATCTCCTGCTCTCCCATATGGGTCACCAAATCTCCTACACAATACTAATAAAAGTGCATATTAAATACATTTTTCAGACATATTTTGGCCAATTTTTGGCATTTTTGTAGGAAAATTTTGGATCTTTGATGCATTTTTGAGATTTAATTGGCAGATTTCTACTTTGAACAACTTTTTTTTTAGGTTCAAAAAAGATAAAATTGGCAATCTCCCGGATTTTGAGTTTTTTAGGTTGGCATCTCTGGTATTTTTGTAAACCAATAACAGCATGCTTCCTTAAGCTGGAAGCCTGTGGGAAGCCTGAAAGGCTGTCTGTACTTTAGAACTTGAGAAATGATCATGAGACATAAATACTAGTGTGGCCTTTCAACAACTATGCGATACATATAAAGTAATTTGTTTAAATGCACATGTACATGTACATCCTCAGTTTATGACCGGGCACTAACTGACTCTTTACATAAAGTAATACCAACACAATATCCATGGGATCTTTGCAAAAGAATGGATCACCAGTTGTTTCAATATGTATTACACCAGAAGACTGTCTGCAAAGATGGCTAGAAGATATGCCAAGGTTCTCAGAAGCTTAAGTTAAAATAAGCATCTGAAGTATGGGTCACCTACACATCACCTTACACAAGCCAGCATAAAGTGCTATGTTCACATATCATACTCTTTAGAAATCTACACCATAGATATCTTTAGAATGGATTGAGTTCGACTGAGTTGGATTTCCAAACTGAATTGACGTTCGATTGACTACATGTATGCCAGCATACTTTCACAAGTATTTTGGCTGATTATGGGTCTTTTTTCGAGATATTTGACTCATTTACGTTGCTGAATTGGCAGAACTTAGTTATGTACTAAAAGTACATTTTTAGGGGCAATCAGCCAATTCTCCCCGATTTCTATAATTCTCAGGTGGGCATCTCAGATATATGGGCATCAAATGGGCTGGCTTTTATTTAGGTTATTTACCATTTGACATACAAAAATTGCTTGCAATAACTTCATAATGTGTTACGGTCACCCCAAAATGCAGACCATACAGACTGCAGACTGCAGACTGCAGACCGTGCAGACCGTGCAGACTGAGTACTTTTTTTCAAACACTTGACTCACTTTTTTCGCTTCTAGTGACAAAATAGTGTTCAATATGTCCTAATGTTTGTTATTTACCCACAAGTGGCATAAACTCATCATCTGACTGTTGATTCACGCGTTTAATAGACCTTCTATGGGAAATTCCCTTTATGGGTCCTAAATATACTAAAATCAAACATCAAAATAAACTTACATACATTCTAGGTGCAAATTGCATCAATTTTTGACGGGTTTGTGGTTTTATTTATTTTGTCCAATTTGTTGTTGTTGTGTTCGCTTCACAAAGTACAGAATCGCCATTAGACTAGGAGTATTCCTCTTTTGCTTAGTTGACCGTAAGTAAACCTCGAGGAAAAAAATGCTCGCATGAAATTTTTTCCTCGAGCTTTTATGCGTCATGCACGATGGACTAAGCAAAAGAGGGATCACTCGTAGTCTAAATCGCCATAAAAACACAACTGCCATGGTGCAGAAGGCAACAAACGAGTCAAACCACCAGCAGGGCTGGGAATCACAGTCGGTCATCGGACATAGAGTCCTAAAGCGATGACGTCACGTTACCATGACGCCGAAAAAGTCGGTTCTAAACAAACTCGTATTGCTTTTCAAAATGGC